CTGTTGCAACCTCCTTCTTCATTTGCTTCCAATGCCTTCTTTTGATCCATTGTAGCATCCTGGTATTGCCATGTTTGGTAGCCTTTTTGCTGCCCAGCTTGTTAATGCATCTCTCATGTTTTTAAACCAACTGCAATCCACAAACAAATATTGTTGTGTTTCAATTACTCCCTGATCACATAGGCAACATTCAGCATTACCTGTTATAGGGATGTTCAACTGTACTAATCTACTTTTTGTTTGCATTTTTTGTTGGTATGCCAGCCACAGGACAAACCTGTGTCTTGGCAGTAATGTCCTACTCCATACCAGCTCCATTTCCCTGCATCTTGGCAAATGTCCTAGCATTGCATTGTAGCTTCTAGATACTGAATACTGCCCATTGCTAGTCAGCCTATATGTACTTCCATGATACCATTGTGCCATGTTTTGTTTTAAGCTATTCAACTTCTTCCAGTACCAACTGCAGTCAGATGGTGGCCTGTGCTCCCATATGCTTCTGCATGATTTCATATACACCCCATGTACCCATCTCACCCATAACACTTCTTTATTTGTCACTAATTGCCATAGTAGTTTCCCAACTGATGCTATATTTCAGTTTTTACATCCCTTTATATTCAATCCACCATATTTCTTTGGCCTGCACAGAACTTCCCATGATACCAATGCCATCTTCCTGTGTCCCTCTGTGGTGCCCCATAGATACTCCCTACACTTCCTATCAATTGCTTTTATAACACTTTGAGGAAGTATAAAGACAGCCTCCCAAAAGTTATACATTGCAAATAGTACTGAATTAATCACTTGCAGTCTACCTGCATATGATAGAAGTTTAGCATAGCCTGCTTGGATGTTTGTAGTGATCTTCTCTACTAACTGGTGACATTCTACCTTGCTCCATTTCTTTGATGTTAGTGGTAGTCCCAGGTATCTCATTGGTAGTGTGCCCACTGAGAATCCTGTAGCACTCACTATAGCCTGTTTACTTGCTTCATCCATTCCTGCTAAATATATGTTTGACTTCTCCATATTTGCTACCAACCCTGACACTGCACTGAAATGATTCACCACTTCCAACATCCTATGGATAGATTGACTATTACCTTTACAAAATAACATCAGTTCATCTGCAAATATCAAGTGTGTCAGTTTGGTATTTTTACACATGGGATGAAATTGGAAGTCTGGCAATTCACTCATTTTGTTCAACCCTCTTGTTAGGTACTCCATGACAAGTACAAATAGTAGTGGAGACATAGGATCTCCCTGCCTCAATCCCCTTTTTCCTTCAAAGTAACCATATCCTGCACCATTCACCTTGACAGTGAAAGTAGTTTTTGTAACACATATCATTATCAATTGGATGAATGGCATTGAAAAACCATAGCCTCTGAGTAATTCTTCCAGAAATTTCCGTCTCACCATATCATAGGCCTTCTTTAGATCAATCTTCATCAAGCACCTGGGGGTTGTCTTCCTTTTGTAGTGTCTTAGAAGATCATGGCATATCAGGACATTGTGAACAAGTGATCTTTCTTCAATGAATGCTGCTTGATTATCAGCTATAATCTTTGGAATAACTTTCCTCAATTTAGTACAGATGATCTTGGAAATACATTTGTAAATGACATTACAGCAAGCAATAGGTCTAAATTGACTTGCCTGCAAGGGATTCTTCACTTTTGGTATAAGTGCTATGCTGGTTGAGTTGATCTGAGTGAGTAGTTCTCCATTCTCAAAAAATTCCAGCACTGCCTTGATCACATCCTCTCCAATTATTGTCCAGGCTGCTTTATAAAAACCACTCCCATACCCATCTGGTCCAGGGCTTTTAGTATCATTTATGCTGAACATTGCTTTTTTCACTTCTGGCCCTGTGTAAGGCCTTAAGAGTTGTAGTTGTTGAGTGATTGATAGCACTTTCCCATTTTTCAAAAACCCCTGAATAGCATGATCCCTGAACCTTCCTTTTGTCCCTAGTAATTCCTGATAATAGTCTACAAAAATTCCTGCTATATCTTCCTGCTCAGTTTTTATATCTCCAGCATTATCAGTTAGTTGAATGATTGCTTCTTGCAACCTCCTGTGCTTTATGACTGAAAAGAAGTACCTATTATTATCATCTCCCAGCTTGATCCAAGTAACCTTGCTCCTTTGTTGAAGATATACCTCTGCCAAGTATGATGATCTTTTGAATTTTTGATACTTCTGCTTTTCTTCTAGCTGTAACCCTGCATCCATTGGATTTATGAAGTTCTGCTTGAGCTGCAGCCAAATCCATTCTATCTGCATCAGCTTCTTCTATAATGTTGCTAAAATACCTCTTATTCAGCATCTTCAAATCCTTCTTCATCATTTTTAACTTTCTGACCACTTGAAACATACTGCATCCTTCAACTTCCTTCCTCCATCCTTCCTTAACTATATCTATAAAGTTTGGATGTGATGCCCAAACATTACAGAATTTAAAAGCAGCTTTTGCCCTCCTAGGTGGGTTAGCTAGTGATAGCTTTAGTGGGCAATGATCACTTATCCCTTCCTCCAAGTAGCAAGCCATATATACTGGCATTATATTGAGCCATGCTGTGTTAATGAAAGCCCAATCTATTTTTGATAGGATCCTGCTATCTCCATGTCTATCATTCCATGTATACCTGCTCCCACTAGTTGGCATTTCCATTAGTTCACAATGGTCTATGCACTGCTGGAAGTCTATTATTTCAGCCAAGCTTACAGGATTCCCCCCCACTCTGTCATCAGTATGCAACACAGAATTAAAATCTCCCATCACTATCCATGGGCCCCCCACATTCTTACTCATATTGTCTAGGTAATTCCACAAATTCCTTCTTTCTTCTTTTGTGTTGAAAGCATATACTATAGTCATCATAAAGCCAATCTGCAGCCTTTTATGACTGATCATGCATGTTACTGCTTGATCAGTCATTGTGTTCACAGTTACATTGAAACAGTCCTGTCTCCATGCCACCCAAATTCTGCCATTATAGTGTTCACTCAAATTTGTTATACTCCCCCATCCTCCAAATAGCTTGTTTGCCACTTGGTTTATTTTATCTGACTTTATTTTGGTTTCTACCATGCCTATCAACCCTATCTCTTCTTTATTACAAATGAGCTTTACCTCCTTTTGTTTGTTAGGGGCATTCATACCCCTAACATTCCAGCACAGAATGTTATCCATAACTCATAGGAGGTAATGCTCTCCCTCCCACATTCCCCTCCCCTTTCCTGCTACCCTCAGCTCCATCAGTGTCCTTTGACTCCAATAGCTGAAAATTGTTGTAGTAACTTCTATCTCCAGCTTCCCTCCCCTGCTTTGCTTGTTTATTTGTGGTTCTTGTAGTATTGCTTGGTGTTACCACCCAGCATTATCTTGATTTTCTTGCATTTTTTGTTTCCCTGTCTCCATCTTATTCACTTGCATTTTACTGGTTCCTTCCCCTTCCTTACTGGTTGATGCTTTGTTCATTTGTTCTATTGGTCGTTCCTCCTTTTTGCCATTCTCCTCCTCTGCTGGTTTAACATCTGCAGCTTGTTTTTTAGTTTTACACACCTGTTCATCATGGCCATATTTTCTTCAAGCTTTGCATAATGTTGGCTTCCAATCATATTGTACTTTCTGCTACATTAGTAGCCCACGCTCATTCTTGAAGAACACTTTATCTGGTAGTTTTGTATCCATCTGAACTTCTACTAAGAGACATGCAAAACTTAGCCCCATCTTCTTCTCTGTATTGCTATCTACCATCAGTGGTCGACCAACTAAGCTGCCAATCTTACTCAATCCCTTAGGGCTCCAATATTTGAAATCCAGTCCAGGTAGCTTGATCCATATAGGCACAGTGTATAACTCCTCTTTTGTGAATTCCATGTCCACATTCCATGCTTTTACAATGAACGGCTTGTTATCAAAATGGTATATACCACCTTGTAGTACCTCATTCTTCCCCATGTTAGTATCAAATCGCACTATCACTATCCCATTTTTTAGCATAGAGACTTTATTAATACCATGTTTTCCCCAAATCCTTCGCACATATGCATTGAGTACTGTGAATGGTGGGTGAGCTCCCAGAGCATAGCACACAACTGCATTTTTCCAGTACTCAATTTCAGAGCTAATGTCCTCTGTCTCAATTTCACAAACAGGTATCTCATCATGTACAGCAGGTTCTACAAATTCGAGTTTAAATCCAGCATTAGTTACCTTTGTTATGTCAAAATTATCCCATATAGATCCCCCGGTGGTCAATTCCGGTGCAATCTCTGCTTCGTCTGCCCACGACAATTTTCCGCTCCCAGCTCCAGATTCTAGTGATTTTGGTGATGTCTTTGATGAACCCTCACCCAATTCTGTAATTTCCGTATCTGATGATCTTCCAATTGGTGGAGTTTCACTTACTTGCACTTCAATTTCCTTTTGCTCCGTCATCTCATCTCTGCATTTTACTGTTTCATTGCTTTTTCCTTTTTCAAGCTGTTTTTTTGGATTTTGACCTTGTTTCCATTCCTCGTTCTTCTTCCGTTGCTGGAATTTCATGGTTTCCCTCGCCATTATCGCCTTCTGCGATGGATTTCGAGCTCTCTTCCCCATGGCGCATGTTAGCTAACATACGCTGAGAGAGAAAACCATCGAAGAAGCGTACTTTTACCGTTGGATCAATTTGGAAGAATTATTTCGTCTTGTGGTTTAGAAAATAAAATTTTATCCCAATTTATCTAGAACCCTATATATTTCTTTTTAATCCAATGAACTAAATATATCACTGAATAATCCGTTACTATTTAATATCCGTTGTATAATTCCGTTATTATTATTTGGGAATAACTTGTTCCTTAACCAAATGACACCTAATGATTCTTTTGCAAATCAATTAGTTGGAACTTAGCCAAAGTTTAAAAGAGTGATAGGAATATCCCCTAATTACCATTCCTGTAATTAGCATCTAAAACCGGGGCACTTTAGAAATAGAGGGAGAAATATGACCGTTGGGGCTTTGGGGGTCCTCTAACGTCTCTCTATATGTACTTTTTTCCTGCTCTGCAACTTCAAAACTCTGCCCAAAAAAGCGCAAAAGACTATTTGAGAAATCATCAACAGATAGTTTACGCATTTACGAAGAAGAAAGCTTGATAAATTCTTCAAAGAAGGACGGGAAATTTCTCTCATCTGTGAGTTTTCTGTATTCTTTAATTACATGTTTACTTCAAGAATGGCAATTCTAATTTCTTTCTTCTAACTGCTATGCTTCTAAGTTAAAATCTCACCGATTAAGCATCTCCTAATTGAGGTTGAAATTTTATGATTTTCTTATTGTTATTTTTATCCTGATTCAAGTTGAAGACAGATTATTGAACTCAATTTTTGCCGTCTACTAAAGTTCTAAATTTGGTAATCCACTTTTCCGTTTGATTAAAGCCTTAGGGTTTTCGGTTCTTCATACTGAATTAAAGATGTATGATTCTAGGGTTTTCCGTTGTTAGATCAAATAATAATTCTTGAAAACCGAGCCTCGGGGAATTTTTCAAGTTTGTACGTAGATGGTTAAATTATCCGTAGATTTTTTTTTTTCTTTTTTTTAAAGGTGAAAAGAGTTTCACCGTGTTCTTCTGCCTTCTGTTAAAGGACATTAGCGATCTGGTCTTGATAGAAATTCTAGGTACTTATCATTTTTAGCAAAAAATAGGATGTCAAGAAAGGGACATTTTACGGCAATGTTAGCAAAAATTAGGATGAAAAATGAAATCTAGTAATCAGTTTGTTTAACCTAGGCGTTAATTTTGCACATCTTTTTCATACCCGTGTGCCCCTGATTCGTAATCATTACAAATGGTCATCTTACATGGTTGCAGTGAACACATTTAGTCATTCTATCAAATAGTTTCAGTATTATCATAGTACACTGACAAAATCGCTAGAGTTCCACATTATTAAGCATGATTCTTGTGTGTAGCACTCATTCTTTTGTTGCCAAACTTGTTCTTTAGGGTGTATTAACTATCTAATTTTAGATGCCCTCTTGAAGATGCATTTCAGATGTAGATTAAAAGATCTTTTCTTCCCCATAAGCCCCGAATTTGAACTGCTTTATTTTGAGAAGCCATGACCAATGTACTTGATCTTTGGCATTCTGATTCTTGCTACGATTATAAATGTCTAACTGAATGGTTGAAGAATATAAAGCTATACTCACTGAGCAAAAAATGTAACATCACAGCACACTGAGAAAATCCCCGGAATTTAAAACATTAATGAAACTACTATGTTGTTTATAAATCTCATTTCTTTGTTGTTTTGCTTGTACTTTATGTATGTAATCAGTTCATTTTTTCGCTTTGATTTCATGTTATAACGTCAATTACATGGTGCAGGATTTTATTCTAATTCTGCTGGGACGCTAATACATGGCTACATCAGCTGCTCACCTGATTCAGGATCAGAATATCAGTATACATTTTGATGGTAGAAACCTCATTAGATAAGCATGGACTATAATGCTTTGATTTTCAACTGTCGGCTCACTAATTTTTGTCTTTCACAGGGGCTTCTTTGTTGGGAAAGAATGATACTTCCAAGGCATCAAAGAAAGGAGGAGGTCTTGGTGGAAGAAAAGCACTTAACGACATCTCAAACTCAGCAAAGCCTTCGGCTCTGCAGGCAAAGAAAAATTACTCCTCGAATGTAATTTCCATCGGGAAAGATCTTGATGCCACTCGAAACAAATTCATCGGAACAAAAGATAATTCTGCTAAAGTACCTGATAAGGGTGGCCGGAAGGCACTCACTGATCTTACAAACTCAAGCAAGCTATCAGCAAAGCAGGCTGCCAAGAATAAGAAACTGAGTACTGCTGCAGCAGCAAATGTTCCAACTTCTATGGCGGAAGAGCGATTTCTGCATGATCATCAGAAGTGCATCAAATCACAGAGAAAAGTGATGGACATGGATTATTTTCTAAAGGAAGTTGGACTAGACAATGGTAATAAAAAAAGAAACCTGAGCAACCATGTTTTATTGTTTTATGAAGCAGTTGATAATCTGATTTTCCTATTGACAGATGTCCCTGTGCAGCTAGCAGCATCTCCACGTGCATCTAAACTCTCAATGAAGTCAATGGTCAGTAGCATTTTGTTCCTTTTTGTTTATTTATAACTCGTTTAGTCTTGTGATTCTGTAAAATAAAAGTTGTTTCTAACACCTGATGACTTTGATATACCAGCTAGAGAGCCCTGTGAAGTACTTCGAAGTGGAAGAAATGCCAGAACTGCTGATGTATGGTAAGGTTCCTCGATTTGGAAAAATGGAAACTTGCGGAGACGCTTCGCCATCTATTGGATCTCCTACATCACCAAAGCTATCATCTATGAGCTGGTGGAAGGATGGAAGCACTCCATGTTTCACACTGATTGAATCTCCCTTCCTACCAAAGCATTGATGTCGTCTTCTTTTTTATCACAGGCACCCTATTACTTAATGGCATCAGTCAGTTGGCTAAATGACTGTTGAACTTGTTTAATTCTTTCTGGTTTTGGTGGCAAGAAGGCAGACTAGCTCCTTCGTCTTGCATGATTTACATTTTAGGCATATTAACTGATGCATTTTGGATTCTATCCCTCCTATTGTAAAACTTAATTTTCTATTTCAGATGCTTTAAGATAATGAATTGCTGGAGTCATTCTACAGCTTCTCAAGTTAAATGTTTTTCTTGCATTTGTTACAGTTCATGTTTTATAAGGTTGTGTAGGAAACTAGGCAGATGATGAAACATGGGAATGTTCTCATTTTCAACCTTTTAGAAGTAAGTTGCTTTGAAGTGAACCAAAAGATGAAAACCTAAAATGGTGTAATGGTTAACATGAACTGCTCATCAGAGTTCAACACAGGGGTATGCTTAATTTTAGAGCAGATAGTACTTAAATTGATTTGGACTAAGACCATTTTTTTCAATCTTCAGTTGATTTGTTGAGTTGGTTAAGTGGTCACTTTTTCATGTTTTTATGGAAGCTTTAAATCTTTGTCAGGCGGGGCTATTAGTTTAAGAAATTTTTGACATTGATGGATATGTTCTGTTCAGGTTTTTCTTATTTTAGTTGTTCAGAAATACAGATAGGAAGTCTTCTTCATGGCTAGCAGAAGAAGTAATGCTCATCGTCCAGATTGTCATGAATATATAAACATGCATTTTCATTTTTCCTTTGGGTCTGAAACTTTCAAAGATATATATATATATATATATATATATATATATATATATGGCAGCGCACGTGTCACACTCCTATGGATTGTCAACATCTAGGGGGTCAAGACTATGAAATTAGGAGCATTAAAGACCACATGAAGTTTAAGGAGGAACTAAACAAAAGTCGTCAAGTTGAGGGGAGTCCCGAACTATTCTACTATTAAAATTCAAGAAACTATTTTAGAAAATAATAATAGTATTGAACAAAAATAAGGAAAGGCTTTTAGGCATGAAATCAAATTTCTTTAAAGGTATATTTCCCATATACTGATTGAGAAATACAAATAAGTTCCTTCACAATACAACAAAGTCTATATGTACACCGGAGATTTTTTGTAGCGACTTCCTACGAAATTTCTGTATTACAGATTAAAGAGACTTCTATCTATACTACTTTTGAAATTTATTTACCCTCACTCTTAAAGTTTTAACATAATTACAAGTTGATATACAATTTACCACTTATATACAAATTTGTATTATATAAGTATCTCTTTATATTATGCATTGAATAAAGAATTCCTCTATGTGTGTGTCTATGTTCTTTCCCTAACACTATTTTTCTTCTTTCGAAATTCTCTACTTTTCTCTCTTTTCTCATATACTTTATCCTCTCGTTTTTTCAGGAAATTCATCAATGCATTTCAATTGTTTTAATATAGAGTTTTAACTTAGCAATTTCCTTTCATCCACATTTGGTGTTCAAGATTGAAATTATCAATCAATAAATTTCCTTTCCACCGTTGACAGTCATTAAAAAGTTTCGAAACTTTGAATTTGAATTCGGATTTTCAAAAAATATTATTTGTTTGGATTGGGTGTTAGGCCAAAGAAGAGATGGGCAAAGGTGATTAGGCAAGACATGACGCAGCTTCACTTGACCGAGGACATGACCCTTGATAGGAAAGTATGGAGGTCGAGGATTAGAGTAGTAGAGTAGGTAGTCTAGGTTGTTCATAACAATGGTATTGGCACGCAGTCTCGCTTTCTGTTGGTAGTAGGTTTTTATGACTAACCGTTGTTTTCTTTCATAGTTGATCACGTTACTATCTTGTTGTTTTTATTCTGCTTTTATATGATTTGTTGGTATTGTCCTTTCTTGTCTATATTTTTATTAATGTGGTGCTTATGCTTTCCTAAGCCGAGGGTCTATTGGAAACAACATCTCTATCCTTACAAGGTAGGGGTAAGGTCTGCGTACACACTACCCTCCCCAGAACCCACGATGTGGGATAATACTGGGTATGTTGTTGTTGTTGTTATTGTTGTTGGATTGGGTGTTGTTGCAAACGATTAAGAATATTCACTGGAGTTTATATCTCAATTTTGAGGTTGTTCAGTAAATATTAGAGGTGATTTTTGTTGGATTTCATTTTGAAACTCTAAGTTGTATATAAATTATATTTAAGTTGTATTTGTTGTAGTTATATTTTTTTGTTTGAATGTTATATGAAAGTCAAAATTAGTTATATATTATATCAATCGTTGTACGAAATTTGTATTTAAGTTATAATTTTTACTATTTTTACATAAAGTTGCTATGTATCAAAATTGTATCAAGAAATGAGGTTTTGATTAAATTTCATAAAGGAAGGACACATCACATAAAAAATATATACAAAAGACATATTGTATAAAATTTGTATGAAAATTGTATTAAAGTTGTATGATGCTGTAATTATATTTAACTGGGTAAGAATGATATATCAAAGTTGTAAATAAGTTATATATTGTATAATTAGTTGTATGAAATTCATTTTTTGTTTGTATGTTGTCGTAAATGTATCAAATTTATACAAGATTTGTTTTTAATTCATGTACATTGATATACCATACATTGTTCTTTTCTTAATTGATTTATTAAGGAAAGAAAAGTAGAGAATGAATTCTAAATCGACTCATGTGCATTGATTTATATTTGTTTCAACTGAAAAACTTGAATATTGATGGGGAACTGAATGATTTGGGTGGAGAAATATTGAGTTTCACATCGAAAGTGCCATCGTCGCACTTCGGAGAAACTGAGTTCTATGTGAGATTTGAATTTTGTGTGAGACATCTGTAGGCATGTAAATTTTATTGAAATTAAATCCGTAAACTAGTTTGGACTATATTTTAAATTCAAGTTATATTAGTTCAAACAAATTTGTTGGGCTAATATAGTTGGATTAATTATAAGTCCAATACATATGGATTAAAAAAATAAGTCCAAATTCAATGGGCTAGCCCATTTAGTTGGGCTAAAGTGATGAGCCCACTTCATTAACCCCAAAATATCATTTTTCTAGAGGCCCAGTTTGGTGCCACGTGTCAATGATGTGGCACGCCAAGTCAAATAAAAGAGCCAATAGGGTCGTGCCACATGTCAAAATGACAAGGCATGCCAAGCCAAATCAAAAGACCAATGAAATCGCGCCACGTGTGCAAGTGACATGTTCTAGTCAATCAAATGTAGCCATGTCACACTTCAATTTGATTGGTCGGAAAGAGTTTGTTCTTATCATAACTACTCACTTTCACAACTATAAATAGGGTTCTTCATAATCCAGAAAAGACTCCAGAAGTTATAACAAGAAGCAAGAAAGAGCTCGTGGATCAAACGCTGCAAATTCCTCCACAAGTTTCAAGCTTCAAGCAATCAAGTTCAAGCTCAAGAACGAAGGACAAATCAAGTTCAAGCTCAAGAACAAAGAATAAATCAAGCTCAAGCTCAAGAACAAAGAACAAAGAACAAATCAAGTTCAAGCTCAAGAACGAAGAACAAATCACGGTTCAAGAAATACAAGTTCAAATCAAAGTTCGTGCTAGTTGAATTCAAGATCATCGTTTGTGGCAACAAATATAGATTCAAGATCAAGCTCAAAGGCCCTTGAGTTTATTTACTATTGGAAAGAAGAATCATAGGATTCATAGAGATTGTACACTCATATCATTTAAAATCAAATACTACGATTGTTACGATATTTTTCGGTCTTGATTTTATTTTCTCGATACAAATTTTATTGTCTACAACATCAACTAGGCAGATTCTTGTTGGAAAGTGACATGTTATGGCCAATCAAATGCGGCCATGTCACACTTCAATTTGATTGGTTGGAAAGAGTTTGTTCTTATCATAATTCCTCCCTTCCACAACTATAAATAAGGGTCTTCATAACCCAGAAAAGACGCTAGAAGTTATAGCAAGAAGCAAGAAAGAGCTCGTGGATCAAACGCTGCAAATTCCTCCATAAGTTTCTAGCTTCAAACAATCAAGTTCAAGCAATCAAGTCCAAGCTCAAGAGCAAAGAACAAATCAAGTTCAAGCTCAAGAATGAAGAAAAAATCAAGTTCAAGCTCAAGAACGAAGAACAAATCAAGTTCAAGCTCAAGAACGAAGAACAAATCAAGATTCAAGAAATACAAGTTCAAATCAAAGTTCGTGCTAGTTGAATTCAAGATCATCGTTCGTGGCAACAAATATAAATTCAAGATCAAGCTCAAAGGCCCTTGAATTTATTTACTATTGGAAAGAAGAATCAGAGGATTCATAGAGATTGTACACTCATATCATTTGAAACCAAATACTATGATTGTTGCGATATTTTTCGATCTTGATTTTATTTTCTCGACGCAAAATTTATTGTCTACAAATTCTGGCCCCCAGTGGAACAATCTCTACCTCTCATCTCAACTTTTCAATCACCAAAGTTCAAGAACATTGAAATGGCTTCAAAGAAAATCAACTCCAGTTCAATTTCCACCAAGGCTGCTAATTCCAACTTCTATGGTGATGTGGAAAGCATCCTCGATATTACCTTTGGAAGCTTTAGACTAGTTACGAGGAGCAAAGCAAGCTCGTTAAGAAAACAAGCACCCCAATTGCCGTCCGCATCAACCCCTATTTTCGGATCTTCATCCTCAAAAGGAGCAAGATCTTCCACAAATGCACCCGAAGGAGGAAGCGATGTTGCTGAAAAATCAAGAAAACTCTTGCTCTACTTGACCTCTCCGGATCCAAGACTATGTTGTGAAGAAAGTTGATGATGCTTCAGGTGACAGATCCTCCCCACTTACACCACATAGCATGAGCCAATGAAGGATCAATCTGTGTGAAAATTCATGCTACTCTCCATCGTCCACGACAATCATGCAAGCCATGGTGACAAACACTTCATCTGTGGAGGAGCAGTTGGCAAACTTGACGGACGCAATCGCTGGCTTGATCAAGTGCATGCAAAATCAAGATGCTAGAATCGACAAGTTAACAGATAGGGTGGGAATCTTGATGGAAGAAGAATCCACTCACGTACCTGGCAAGCTCCCAGAAGTTGCAGATAGTGATTCTCCCCCAAGACAAGTAGCATCCGCTAAGCCTAACCTATCCCTGTCTCATCTGAATGGATGATTCCAATCGATCAACTGAAGGAGTTCATTGAAGGAACCACTAAGAACAAGTATGAAGTTGCTTCC